CCAAGCGGCGCCTCGTCACTCCCTGCGAAGCGCCGGTTCCTTCTCTAGGCCTGAAGAGAAAAAGGAGAGGGGCTGGTGGTGGTGGTGTGAGGGCCACGAAGGGCTTGAAGAAGCCCCAAGAGGCCCTCTTCTCGGCCCTGGCCTCCCTCCCGCCTTCCCTTTTCTCCCTCAGGGGTCCCGCCCCTCGCTTCGGAGGCCTTTTCCCCACCGCCCCACTCTCGTCGTGAGGAGAAGAAGCCGCCTCGCCCCGGGGAGGGGGGGGAGGCTTTTGTCCCGCTGGCTTCCCTCACCTTCGTCTCGGCCATCATGGGAACGAACGTGGCGCCTCCTCCTTCTCCCTTCACGCGGCGGCGGCGGCGGCGGCTTCCCTCACGTCACGGGCGGCTGGCCTCTCCTTTCCCTCCGCGCGGGGTCTTGCCTTGCCTTCCTCGCTCGCCTCACACGGCCTGGCCTCGTCCCCTCAGTCACGGGCGGCTGGCCTCTCCTTTCCCTCCGCGCGGGGTCTTGCCTTGCCTTGCCTTCCTCGCTCGCTCGCCCGACCCTCCGCCTCACACGGCCTGGCCTCGTCCCCTCACGCGCGCCGCTTCTCCTCCTCCTCAGCGGCCGCTCGAGCTCCCCGCCCCCTCCCGCCTTTTTTATTTTTTACCTCATTCCCGCAGCCCGCGCCGCTGCCGCAAAGGCTGATGGGGAAGGAGGCGCGCGGTATCTTTCCCCCCCCTCTCACGCGCGCAGGGCGGGCACACACAGAGAGGGAAAGATGGGGGAAGCCGGACGCGCATGCGCGCCGAGGGCACAACAGAGGTTCTGTCCACGCCGCCCCGACAAGATGGGGGGGGCTCGGTGGTGACTAAAAATCACTCACATGTCATAATAAAAACAAAATATTGTGGCGCCTTTAAAAAGGTTTGTGGTGGAAGGGTTTTTTTTTATATTCGTGGAGAACCATCCGCTTCCTCAGGGAGGAAAGGCTGACTCAAGAAGGCTTCGGTGCTTTTAGGTTACAAGTGCGGTTTTTCCTCGTGAAGGGGGAAAAGAGGCGCAGGAAAGGAGCCTCCCCGCGCGAGAGCGGTGTTGTCCGCCCGAAGAACGGCTTCGGAGAGCGTTCGTGAGGGGAGCGTCCATCCATCCTTCCTTCCTTCCCTCAGCCCGCCATTTCCGACGCCAGGACCACCACCGCT